TTGGATGATAGAATAGCGGATGAATGACAGGCGCATGATGGAGTTAAAAATATGTGATAGGTGTATGATGGCTTTTTTTGTTTGATGATTCTATTAATTATTAAATCATGGCCAGGAGATTTGTTATTGGCAAGTTTTTTGATAATATACTGAATTTAAGAGGGGGATGTATGTTTTGTAGGTAGGGACATAGGGAGGGTTTGGGATAAAGTTGATTGAATGGTCTGAATCAAGTATGTCTGGGTGGGGAGTGAATCTAGATTCTAGGTCAGARGCAAATAAATTAGCTTTTTCTAAGTGGGAAATTGCTAAAGTATTGTCAGGGTAGCGTAAAGGAGGAGAAATATTTTTTTGTTTAAGTAMATTTTTGGTAGCTTTCCATAAAGAATTGTTAGTTGTTGAGAGGGAATTTAAGTAATTTTGATAGTTTTCCGAGTTAAATTTTCGAAGTGTATTTTTGAGAACAGAGGCAAGGTAGTTGTACGTTTTTTTATCACTAGGTAGGTGCGATCTCTGCCATCTAGAGCGGGCACGACGTYTGGCAATAATTAGTTGGRAGATAAATTGGGGAAGTTGGGAAGTGGATTTTTGTAATGTTGAATTAACTATAGAAGAGTCAAGTGCAGCTTTTTGAATAATTGTTGTAAAAGATAGGATAGCCGAGTCGATGTCTTGGATTGTCTTCAGTGGTACATTAAGCGTGATTTTATTATCCAATAGGGCTTGAAAGTTGGACCATATGATTTTCCCTAACATAAACCTAGAAGTTTTTTCAAAAAAAAGTTAATACTTTTCGGAAYAATTAGTGTACCCAGTTAAAAGAATCACCCTGTATAACATTTAATAATGTTTTTCTTATATTTTATAGGAAATAAAAAAAGAAAAGATCACGATAAATCAAAACAAAACGCAGAAAGAAAAGAAAATGAAAAACCTAAAAAAAACGARAAAAGAAATGAAGTAGATAAACCGAGAAGGCATGAAGAAAAAAAGAACAAAGATATGCCTAAACAAAAAGAATATAGAAATGAAAATGATAATTGGAGAAAAAATGAAGATAAAAAAGATAATGATAAATCGAGAAAATTCGAAGAAAGAAACAATAAATCTAGAAGATATGAAGGAAGAAAAGAAAATAATGATAAACCTAAAAGATATGAGGAAAAAAGAGATAATAATATTTCAAGACATAATGGAGAGAGAAAGGATAATGACCGATCTAGAAGAAAAGAAGATAAAAATGAAAATGATAYACCGAAAAAAAATGAAGAGAGAAATGAAAACTACAAACCTAGAAAAAATGAAGAAAGAAAAGAAAATKATGGACCAAGAAGAAATGAAGAAAGAAGGGAAAATGATAGACACAATAGAAGTGAAATTGACAAATCTAAAAAAAATGAAATTGAAAAATATCGAAGAAATGAAGACAGAAGGGAAAATGATAGATCTTCAAGAAGAAATGAGGAGGGGAAAGAAAATGATAGACTTGGAAGAAAACGATAATTAGACAGTTTAGTTTTATATTATTTTTACTTTTAAATATTCACATACATTTTATAATATTAATACAAGTAAAGCATTCAATGTCAATAATTTTTATGATAACAACAAAAATAAATGATTTATTTCATTATTGTACATATTATTATGAATTAATAATTTTTGTATTATATTGTTAATTATGTAATTTAGTGTTTGATGTTAAAGAAATGTTGAAGATTTAAGTATAATATTTTWAATTTATTTTAATTACTTAATTGAATTAAAATCATTATCACCTAAGTGGTAATAAATAAAAATATATACTCTAAACATTTACATACTTTACACAAATACATGAATATTTAATTTTACACCATAAGCATCATAAATATCACAAATAGCATAGCTTGTATTTTTATTAACTAATAAGCTAGTACAGTCAGTATAAAATCATTTATATATTTTTACTCGTGGTATATTGAAACAATAATTATTTATACAGTATATAAGTCAGTGTTTATCGACCTTTTTGATATCGCGGAACACCAAATAACAATATTTTTTTCATGCGGAACCCCTTTGAGGATTATCTTTAGAATACTGGCTGCCGGCGGTCTCTTTTTCTCGTGATTTTAAGCTTTCATGGAACACTAGGGTTCCGCAAAACACGGATTAAGAAACATTGGTATAAATTACTCACTTGAACAAAACTAGAAGAAACAATAGTTGAT